CCCTCCCCCACCCACCGCCCTGCTGCCACCGCCGCCACCAATATATAATACATTAAACAAAAATTTTCAAGGCACTGTATATCCCTTACTTACTTCCCTGACATGGGAAGAGAGAACCCAAGCAGAGCATGGAGAGCTCCCTGGAATAAAAATTATGATACTGAGAGTCCAGAGAGATGAAGGAACTAAAATATTGGAGAGAAAAATCTGTTAAGAAAAATGATAATTATAGAGCTCTAAAAAGGTATTCTTCAAGTTAAATAAATATGAGTGTGTGTGTGCACGTGCGCATATACATGCGTATGTGTGTATAAAGTACCTGAGGTGAGGGAAAGAACCATCTGAAAGGTACAGGAAGTTGGCAGTGTTGATGCTGCTACCAGTCAAAACAGAAAAACCTTGAAATTGGGGAGGCACTGGGTAGTTACAGAAATGTATTGCTTCAGAAGTAGAGAATAATTATGCCTTCACTGAATATTACCTGGTCTTACCTAATATATATTAAAAACCACATCCCCAATGATTAAACTCTCTTAAGTAACTTAGTCCCAGAACAAAGTCCAAGAACATATATTAGAATACAAAGCTATCAATACTTAATAACATGAAACACACAATGTTTGGCACTTATTAAAACATTTTCAAACATTCAAGGAAAAAAAGAGAAGTAAAAAATGAATTTAGCATTTGAAACTAACCCAAATCTGACACATATGCCCATATTAGTAAAGAAGTGGCAGAAAAACAACTAGCAATGTGTGAGATGAAAGATACAGTGGATGAGATTAGGAGCAGACTAGAGTTTGCAGTAGAAAATACTAGTAGACTTGAAGACATAATAATAGAAACTATCTAAAACAAAACACAGACAAAATACTACTACTTTTAAAAAATGAAGAGAACCAATCAGAATCAGTGGGACAATTCCAAATGGCCTAGTATATGTGTAATAGGAATTATCAAAAGAAAAGAGGCAGAACAAATATTTAAAGAGATAATACCCAACATTTTTCTGAATTTGGTGAAATTACATATCCAAGCTTTAAGGCTTCAAAAATAAACACACAAAAAAAGAAAGTACACC